CTACAGCCAAAGAGCTGCTGTGCTGAAGACTCCCCTATGGATCAGGATTTACTTCAGTGGAGCTTTGGTGTTCACCAAGTGTGCCCCTTGAGTGTGTCACTCATGGATGTGGTAGGATTGTAATCCAGCCTAGTCAAGTCTGACCACCAGACTTGTGGGCAGAGATGTACTGTCTCTGGGTCCTCCCAGGAGGTGCAAAGTCAGCCTCTGCCTGTCCCTTGCCCAGCGCCACCCAGCATGAGCTACTCAGCAATCCATAGTTGGCTGCTACTTGTGCTTGGCTTGGTGGTGTCCAGGAGAGGCCAAGCTATAAGCCAATGCAAACTGCCGCTAGTGCCAGGCCTGGGGCCGCTTATCAAGCTGTATGGGGCCCGCTGCTGCTTGTTTGAGAGATTTTAGGAAAGTCCTAAGCATGAGGATGGAGAGGCCACTTGCACAGAAAAGCCCCTGGAAATGGCTTGGATGAGCCTGCAGGTGGGGAGGGGCGGGGCCTCCGAGAATCACAGGTCGGGGCCTAAGGTGAGAGTCAGGTGCTGGTGATTCAAATATGGCGCCTGCCTGCCGGCTGTTTGCAGGGAGGACTCGCCAAAGGAGCAGTGGTCTCCGCCAGCTCTTCTGCCTGGGAGGAAGCTGCCCTTCCGCCTCTCTCCCGGATTTCAGGCAGGTTAGTTCCTCCCCAAGTGTCCCAGGTCTTTTCGGGCTGCTGCCCGGCGCTGGGCTCAGAGGGAGCGCGTCTGAGTGAGGCCGAGCACGGGCCCTTTAAGAGGAGCTGCTGGGGCTCCCGCAGCCTCTGTGACCCTCAGGGACAGTCCCCGCTGGTTTTACAGCCCGGAATTGTGGGAACGTCTCTCCCCGGCCCTGGAGCCCTGGGCTGGGGGCCTGCTGTGGGGCTGGGACCCCTCACTCCTCCGGGAAACCTCCACCCCTGATATTCCCTCCTGGGTTTAAACCAAGGCACCGGGTGTGGGCCTGCAACCACGTCTCCACAATTCAGCCCCGATCCACCCTCGTCTCCGCCCCTCCTACCAGTCTCGGTGCTGCTTCAGTTCCCTGGTTGCAGGGTTTCTGTTCAGCCAGATTTCAGGAGGCTCCGAGTGATGGTGGTTCTGTATTTTAGCTGTAATTTTGATATGGTTGCAGGAGGTGGCGGGTGCAGCTGTTACCTACGCTGCCGTCTTGATATCTCCAATTCACTTTCAGTTTCCCATTTTAACGGTTTTCAGGGCCCTTGAGTCCTTTAGTTCTCCTGGCTTTTCCCTTAGCAGCATCACTGAGGATGTGAAAACTGGACTAAAATGACTTCTTCCCAGCTTCACAGGCCACGTTCTCGGGCTCTGGGATTTGGTGAGGTTCTTGGTATTCATTCAGTCATAGTGGCATGATTGCAGAAACCTGGGCTCTGCTCTCCCGTCATTACTCTGGGCTGAAGAAGGCGTCTCCCAGCTCCTACATAAGCTTTCTCATTCTTCCTCCCTCGTCCCTTAGCTGTTACCAGATTCCTGTTTGTCTTCTTTCCTTTTGAAATATCTCTTTGACTTGCCCTCTCCTCTTCTCTTCTGTCATCCCTCCGGTACCGATGCCTCTCTCACTGTGTCAGCCCTTGGCCTGGGCCCTTCTGCCAGATTAACCCAGGGGAGTTCTGCCTCCTTGCACCACCGTCTACTGCAGCTGAGAGCTGCGGAGAGTGAGCCGACACTAACTAGACACACCAGGAGGCTGTGATGCTTGTGATACATTGTTGAGTGAAGGATGCACAACAGTATCCGAGTGTGATACAGTTCTGTATGTGTAAATTCACATTTGTGCACAGCATATAAAGCTGTATGTTTTAAAAATCAAATATATATGCTTATGTTAATATGATTATTGTCCATTTTTTTATATTCTTTGGATAAATCTATTCATATACGCGCACATGTATGTAGTCTCAAATATCTGATTATTTCTCAATGGAAAGGTTTCTGGAAATTTTAATTTACTTTGCAAATACATGACCAGAAGATTCAGAAGTTTATATGACATACAAGTATTACTTTCAAAATAAGAAAAATATATTACTTTTTATCTAAAAAAGGATACTGGCTGAAATTTGACTGAGACATTTGCAGCTAGCGCTCCTGCATTGGTTGTTATGTGCACTATTAATTGAGGTGCCAGACCTCAACAACCTGACATCAGAGGATTGAATACCAGCTATTACAAGTGTGTTTGTCTGTTACTGAGATACGAACTGTTGTACATTAGTCATATTACTTTTGATCAAAATACTGCAAGAAATCAAGGCTGTAAGAAATTTTCTCAATGGAACCCTCTCTCAAAAATGTCTCATCTTCTGTCTTCTAGAAAATGGGCTGTGGATATTGAAGAATCTCCTCAATTGCAAATTCTTTTAAAATTGAATTATAATATCTTTTACACAGTAGCTCAACTAAAATATAAAATCCCTTCCATTTTTATTAACTTCAGATATCATTGAGCAACGCCTGATGGTAAACTGTACCGGCAGCCTTAGAACCCGAGTGTCTCAGCCGGCCTCCGCAGCACCTTCTGAGCTGAGACTGAGGTTCAGGCTTTGGCTGCCCTCTCGTTGGCTGGTGGCTTATCGATGGAGTTGCATGTTGTCTGACATGAACCCAGTCTCTCCGATTGTTACCCGAATCGCCCAGTTTTCAACTGCTCGTTCTCAGTGTGAGAATGACTGTGATATGGAAAGTGGATAAGGGCAAGAAGCCAAGCAGGGCTCGGTAGAGGTACGGTGACGATGCTCAAGATTTAGGGCCTTTGCTCATCGCATTCAGAGCTTCATATAATTGACATGAGAAAGAACATTGTTGTCCATATCAAAATAATTACCTTATCCCTCCATGACTTTTTCTTATAATTTTTTTAACTGAAATGGTCTCTACTAAGAACTGTGTCCCTCATTTCATTTCTAGAAATTTAGAAATATCATCAGGTACAGTTCCCCTCACCCTAAGGCTGCTATCTTAAAGCAAATTAGGGCTGTAGTGACAAGACATTAGGAAAACGGAGTGAGATGAACAAAAAATGGACTGTTTTTCATGCCAGAGGTCCTCTGACACTCGTATCCAGATAGGCAAGAGCAGAAATACCATGCATGGCTGCTCTCTGGCAAAAAGAGAGAGAGAGCACACACGCCAGGATAGGAAGACTAACTGGGTCAGTAATTAGAACAGGGACAGGTTGGGCACAGTCCAAGGGGTAAATGAGTGGTCAGATCTAAAACTGATGCCAGAACAGGAAGGTCAAGGTATAATCTCTGGGCAACCACTCCAGGAATGTTAGGTCCATGCAGCGTGTGACATCTTCAAAATCAAGAGGCATTTTAAGGTGGCAACTGAGCACCACCTGTCTGGTACCAGGGGCCAGTCTCCTTTGTGTGGGACTTTTGCACTGACTCTTAACACTGTTAGTGGGATTCATGTTGTTTGTTTTGATGAATTTTAATTCAGTGAGAAATAGGTATATTATATTCACTGTGTTCTCTGTACTCAGAGAAGTATAAAATATACCATAAGTACATTTTTTAATTCATAAATAGTTAACACAAAAATAAAGCTGGACACTTAAAATGTTTTTAGTATCTGAAAAACTCATTTACATAGAATACTTTAGTCTGATGTTATAAGAAAAATCAGAAATTACAGATTTTTTTTTCATGATATTCTTTTTTTCTTTTTTTTAAATATATCTTTATTGATTTCAGAGAGAGGAAGGGAGAGGGATAGAGAGATAGAAACATCAATGGTGAGAGAGTCATTGATCGAGGCTGCAACCCGGGCATGTGCCCTAACCGGGAATCAAACCCCGATCGCCCAGATCCTAGGTCGACGCTCAACCGCTGAGCCACGCCCGGCTGGGCAGAAATTACAGATTTTTAAAAATCAATATAGTGAAGTCCTGTTCAAACACACCCAGCCAGAGCAGAGGGAACCACAAACTGTGGAGTGTGGGAAGCTTCAAACAGGCCAATCATAAACAGTGTCTAACATTGGCCTGCACCAGAGACCATCCAAAAGACTGGGAGTCCTAGCAGATCTACCTAATACATAGAAAGAAATCCAAACAGGTAGCCAAAAATGGGGAGACAAAAAAACAAGTCCCAAATGAAAGAACAAGAGAATTCTCCAGAAGTAGAGCTAAATGAAATGGAGGTAAACAATCTATCAGATATAGAGTTCAGAATACTGATTGTAAGGATACTCAACAGCGTGAGAAAAGATACAGAAACTATGAAGGAAATTAAGAATGACATAGTAGAAATAAAAAATACATTGGGAGGAATAAACAGCAGATTAGAGGAAGCTGAGCATCGTATCAGTGAATTAGAAGACAGGGTAGAAAGAAATCACTCAATCAGAGATCCAATAAGAAAAAACAATTAAAAAACAGGAGGACAGTTTAAGGGAAGTGTGGGACAACATGAAACGTAACAATATTCACATTATAGGAGTGCCAGAGGAGGTCAAAAGTAAGCAAGGGATAGAGAACCTGTTTGAATAATGGCAGAAAGCTTCCCTAACCTGGTCAAGGAAAAAGTCACACAAGTTCAGGAGGCACAGAGAGTCTCAAGCAAGAAGAACCCAAAGAGCCCCACACCCAGACACATCACAATTAAAATCCCAAAAATTCAAGATAAAAAGAGAATCTTAAAGGCAGCAAGAGAAAAGCAAGCTGTTACCTACAAAAGAGCTTCCATAAGGCTGTCAGCTGATTTCTCATCAGAAACTCTACAGGCCAGAAGGGAGTGGCATGAAGTATTCCAGGTAATGCAAAACAAGGAACTGAAACCAAGACTCCTCTATCCAGCAAGACTATCATTCAAAATAGGTGGTGAAATAAAGAGCTTCCCAGACAAAACAAGGCTAAAGTTGTTTATCACTACCAAACCAGCATTGCAGGAAATGTTAAAGGGACTGCTGTAATAAGAAGTAGAAAAAGAGAGAAAGAGAAACATAGGCATAAAGAAATAAAATAGCAATAGATAAGTACCTATCAATAATAACCTTAAATATAAGTGGATTAAATGTCCCAATCAGAAGACATGGGGTAGCTGAATGGATAAGAAAACAAGACCCAAATACATGCTGTCTACAAGAAACCCAACTTAGAAGAAAAGACTCACACAGGCTGAAAAAAACACAACTTCTGGAGAGATTGACAGCAATACAGTCATCTTAGGGGACTTGAACACCCCACTGACTTCACTGGGCAGATCTTCCAGACAAAAAATCAACAAGGAAACTGGGACTGTAAATGACCCACTAGATCAGATGGATTTAACTGACATTTATAGAACATTTCCCCCAAAGTTTCAGAATATACATTCTCCTCAAGTGCACATGGGACATTCTCAAACATAGACCACATGTTAGGACACAAAATAAGTCTCTACAAGTTCAAGAAGACTGAAATCGTATCAAGCATCTTCTCGGACATTCACACCATGGAATACTATGCAGCTGTAAAAACGAAGGATCTCTTAGTCTATGAGGCAGCATGGAGGGACCTGGAGAGTATTATTCTAAGTGAAATAAGCCAGTCAGAGAAAGACAAGTATCACATGATCTCACTCATATGTGGAATCTAATGAACAAAATAAACCGATGAACAAAATAGACCCAGAGACATCGAAGCAGGGAACAGACTGAGGGATCTCAGAGGGAAGGCGGGGTGGGAGTGGGAAGAGATAAACCAAAGAATTTATATGCACTTATGCGTAACCCATGGACACAGACAATAGTGTGGTGAAGGCCTGGAGGGAGGACTGCAAGGGGGAGGGGATCACTGGAGGAAAAAGGGAGATATTTGTAATACTTTCAACAATAAAGATACATTTTTTAAAAATCAGTATAGTGACAGTATAACAACAACTGGTCATGTGGCAGCTTAACCTGGTCGCCTCTTCGAGCTAGGAGGCGCTCTGAAAACCTCTGTTCTTACAGAGCAGACAGACTAAACCTCAAGGTTTCTGAAACTCACAGTACAATAGTGAAATCTGCTTTAAGAGAAGTACTGTGGTGAATGTTATCTCTTTTGGGGCCGGGTTCTTCTTTAAAAGGACACTGTAAGGGATGCCTGTGCTCTTGAGATAACAGGGTAGTTTAAGCCACAGAGAGAGAGTGCACACACCTGTGTACGTTCCTGTATTTTTTTCTGACTATGTCTTTCAATAAAGGGTGCTTTTAAGCTTCTAGACCATCAGTTATTTAAATATTAGCCAAAGATTTGAGGCAGTGGCCATCATCCTTTGGAAACAAATCTGAAAGTAAATTTCTGTATGCACTATTAATAAGATAACTGCAGATCACTGAAAAAAGTCCTTTTCTTTGTGCTTGCCTTCAAGATTATGACAAGGTTTTGGGCTAGATGTTAGGGCTGTACTGATAGGTAAGTAAGATGGACGTGAACTCTGCCATGGAGAAGCTTCCAATTCAGTGGTACTGAAACTAAATGAAAACATTCGCTGCATTTGTGTTCATTATATCTAAGTTGAAATGTCATAGTGAGACGAAATGTGCAATAGGTATTAACAGTAAACGTTTTTGCATAGACACTTTTAAATACATAAAATTCTATCCAAATGGAAGAAAAAGAAGCCTCAGTGATTAAATTATTATATTAAACAGAAAAGTAGTTCTATGTAATTTCCAACTCTCTTAACTGCTAGTTATGACTGGTTATTTTGTTTTAGCTGATCTCAGCTAATAAAGGACTTGTCCTTCAGCTTTGTGAGTCTGAGAAATCACTTCTGCTCACCTTTTTGTTGCTTCTGTAGGAATTTCAATGAACATTATCACTCCCTGTGCAAAGCAGTACATCACCTAGCAACTGTTGACTGCGTTTTCTCCCTGGCCAAGGTCACTAAGCAAGGCGATTACTGCAGGTAATACATTTTTTTATTTCCCCCCCATTTCAGTGCTTTAGATCAGATGGCATTATTCAATCAATTTTAGTGCTTTTATTATAAAACACTAAAATTACTCAGATACGCTGGAGTGTTGGTGAAGTTGAATATCGTACACATACAGCTCAATTTAAAGTTAAATCCCTCTCTTGCTCTGTCAGTAAATACAGTGATAGCAGATGGTCATGATAATTCTAGAGGTGAATGTTAGATATTTCAATCTTTAAATTTATGTGGGTGACATTTTTACAAAGGTGCAATCCTTTCCTTTGTTAGCTTTGACTTGAGCACTTGATATAATATGCTTAACTTTATAATTATAAGTATCATTTAAATATCTAAATCAGATACGGGTGACTCTCAAGCTGTGGGTCATTCTGAGGCAGATTGCTCCCTATTGCTCCCTATTGCTCTTCCTAAATCCAAAACCTTAAACTTGAGCCAATCTTTTTGCTCAGCTCTCTGGGATTGGGGGTGGGGGATTGGTAGGAGGTGCGCCCTGCCTTCCAGACTCTTTAGGGTGGCAGCCCTGTTCCCATAGCTTTTCTGGGCAATGACTTAGGTTCCAGGAGTCAGGTGTCCCTGTCCCCATGGTGGTGCTGTGCCTGGGCCCGGCCTGGCCCTGCGGGGGTTCTCTGTGGTGGCTCTGCTAGTGCCGGCACTCTGGACTTGGCTTGCTTCAGCTTGGGCCGGAATTTTGTGCTGGTGGCTCTCTGTGGCCCTGGTGGACATTGCCCCATATGGGCTGTCTGGGGAAGCCCTTCATGAGGGCTCTGCCCTTAGGACCTAATCACCTGGGAATACCATCACGTTAGACATTAGGTTTCTACATGTGAATTTGGGAAGGGGGACACAAGTGTTTGGTTTGTGGTTCAAAGCCTCAGTTTTTCATATACTTAAGAACTAGAGAGTGTTTAACTTGATGGCTTATTGTAAGGACTAAAAAGAAAACATGGAAGAGATGCTCTCTTATCAGCGCTTGTGGCACACAGAGCATTAGGAGATGCGTTTTGCTGTTCATACTTCCTCCATATCTTGGTTTCCTCTCTAGTTTGTGCCAGATATCTTTTTTAACATTTAAATATCCTCTGTACCTAGCATAGTACCCATAGTGGATGTCAAAAAACAGTTTAATAGTTTGTTTATTTGTGGGAGGAGAAGGAATTGGCTACACCACTTGTAGACTCAGAAAGTACTGAGTTTGCTGTTTTGCTTCATTGTGTTTTGCTCTCCATGGATGTGGAGTGTACCTACAGTGTCAAGCACAATAGTTTTGTTTAAAATAGAATCTTTGCATTTTCACTTTTGCCCAATTTCTTGCCATTTTAGAGCTGAACCTTTACAGTGCAGTAAATGGGGAAAATTATATTCTATTAATGTATAAAATGAGCTGCACACCTCTCCTGCAGCGGAACCGAGTTCTGGAAGAGTAAGAGCCTGCCCTCAGCGGCTGGTGTCCTCCTGATGTCTCAGTCTTACTAGGGGTCCCTTCTCAGTGCGCAAGGTTTGTGAAGCAGACTGTTCCCGATGGATTCTACTTCTGAATGAAGCAGAGGATTGGCCACAGCCTGTGCACCTGGTGTGTGTCCAGGCAAAGCCCTTCCCACTGAGGAATCCTTAGGCCTGTTATTTATGGCTTCTTAGGCTTCTTCAGGTGGCTTTTTGCTGTTTGCAGCCGCTGATGCTGTAGGTAGTGGAAGGAGGACAGGTAGTGCTGTGCCGCAGAGCATCACGTCGGAAGTGTCACAGCCACGTGTGCACGCATGTTTATACATACCGGAACGCACACCGAGACATACTTATGATTACACATAACATCCAACTTTCGGTGTGACGTAACGATCAGCATCTGGCTTTGCTGTCGGAACTCCTGGCTCCCGCCCACCCTCTGTCACCGACCAGTCCTGTGCTCTCACTTACGTCTTACATATCCATACAGACACGTAAGAAGTAAAGTTATGAACTAGTAATGGGATAAATCTTCAAGTTATAGAGATTCTTTATTGAGATGTAGTTTTAGCAAAAGCTACCTGAGTAGTAAAAATATGTCTTAGTACATCACTGTAAAACTTTATGGTGAACTCCTAGACTTAGCAGAAAATTAACACGTTTTTAGAGTATCCACTGTATGCAAGTTTCATCCTAGATTTTTCAATTTGATGCTTCCCCTTGTTCTTTTGGCATCTTCCAGTATATATTTCAAGAGGCTCCTTGATTTGCATAAGGGAAATTTGAATCTCTGTTCTAGGCGTGTCCTTCAGCTTCGGATCAGACAGGCATGGGGTTTTGAATATCTGCTCAGTTATTTAACATCTGACCTTCAAGCAAGTTTCTTAACCTCTCTGATACTCAGTTCCTACATTGACAAAATAATAACCTGTCTCTCAAAGATGTTGTACAGATTAAATGAGATAAAGATATGTGAAAGCAGGACCAGGCAAATGATAAGCACTTAGTAAATAGTAACTGTTTTACTGAAAGATGTTTAATTATTCAAAAATCAGAAAGAATTAAGTATGGTAAAAATTCTTAAAGTATGATAAAAAATTTTATTTTTAATAAAAATATCTGAACTTAAAAGGTTGTTAGTGTCTTTCATACCCATAGTAATTTATTATATTTTAAAAATCGTTTTTAGTTTTCTGTCAGTGCTCAGTCTTTTGTCTCTAAGAATACAATAGGCATAGTCATCTTAAAGTCTGTGTCTGATCGTTCAATTATGTGGAATCTTTGTGAGCCTGTTCTGTTCTCTTTGTTTCTGCTGGTTCTCTCTCGCTCATGTATCTCCTTGAATGTCTCATTGTTTAGATTATCTATGGGCATTGTATTTGCAAAATCATTTGTAGAAATAATTTGATGGTGCCTTTCTTCTGAAAGTCACATTTGCTTCCGTTAGGCATCTCAAGACACATAACAATCTGGCATCACTTAATCCACATCTGGGTGTAAGATGGTCAAGATGTCAAAGACTGCACCTCTTACTGCAAATACACTCTAACACCTGGCATGACACCCCGAGTGTCTCGGCCTAGAGCAGAGATGTCACCCACCCTCGGCCTATGTCTGACCCCAGATCCGGGCCTGGTCTTGTTACTTACCAGGTGCCTTCAAGTAGCTGTTTTCTATACTTTACCCAACTTTTTATTTGTCCTCAATAGGATTGTTCCAAAACACCTATCAATAAGGCAATTTCAAGAAATATTTCACATGCTAAAGTACTTCAGAAACTGCATATCATATATTTAGAAAATTCCACCTAAAATTTTTTAATCTGCTTGTTTTTAAAGATAAGAACAGTCTCCCGGGAAAATTAATAACCAAGATATGATATATCTTTACACAGAGTATAAATCAAGTAAGAATGCTGTTGACAAGTAGAAATTTCCGTTCCTTTTTTTTTTTACCTTTATTGTTGAAAATACTACAGATGTCCCATTTTACCCCCATTGATCACCTCTCCCCGCATCCACCCCACCCCTAGGCCTTCCCCAGACCAATGTCTGTGTCCATAGGTTATGTTTATAAACATGTAAGTTCTTTGATTGATCTCTCCCCGCCCACTCCCCCATCCCCATCCCCATATTCCCTCTAAGATCCCTCAATCTGTTCCATGCTTTTATGTCTCTGGATCCATTTTGTTCATCAGTTTACTTTGTTCATTAGATTCCACATATGAGTGAGATCATATGGTACTTGTCTTTCTCTAACTGGTTTATTTCACTTAGCATAATACTTTCCAGTTCCCTCTATGCTGTCTCAAAGGATAAGAGATCCTTCTTCTTTACAGCTGCGTAGTATTCCATGGTGTGAATGTCCCACAGCTTTTTTATCCACTCATCTACTGATGGGCACTTGGGCTGTTTCCAGATCTTAGCTATTGTAAACTGCGCTGCTATGAACATAGGGGTGCATAAGTTCTTTCTGATTGGTGTTTCAGGATTCTTAGAATATATTCCTAGAAGTGGGATCACTAGGTCAAATGGTAGGTCAGTTTTTAATTTTTTGAGGAAAATCCATACTGCTTTCCATAGTGGCTGCACCCGTCTGCATTCCCACCCCCAGCAGTGTTCCCCTTTCTCCACACCCTCGCCAGCACTTGTTGTTTGTTGATGGCAGCCATTCTGACAGGTGTGAAGTGACATGTCATTGTGGTTTTCTTTTTTTTTCTTTTTTCTTTTTTTTAAATATATCTTTATTGATTTCAGAGAGAGGGAGGGAGAGGGAGAGACAGAGATAGAAACATCAATGATGAGAGAGTCATTGATCGAGCCCGCAATCCGAGCATGTGCCCTGACCGGGAAATCTAACCCCGATCGACTGGATCCTAAGTGGACGCTCAACCGCTGAGCCACGCCCGGCCGGGCTGTCATTGTGGTTTTCATTTGCATCTCTCTGATGATTAGCGACATTAAGCATTTTTTCATATGTCTCTTGGCCATCGGTATGTCCTCTTAGGAGAAGTGTCTATTTAGATCCTTTGCCCATTTTTTAACAGGATTGTTTGTCTTCTTTTTGTTAAGTTGTATGATTTCCTTATATTTTTTGGATATTAACCCTTTATCTGGTGTGTCGTTGGCAAGTATGTTCTGCCATACAGTGGGCTCCCTTTTTGTTTTGTTGATAGTTTCTTTTGCTGTGCAGAAGCTTTTTATTTTGATATAGTCCCATTTGTTTATTTTCTCCTTAGTTTCTCTTGCCCTAGGAGAGGTATCGTCAAACATATTGCTACAAGAGATGTCTGAGATTTTGCTGCCTACGTTTTCTTCTAGGATTTTTATGGTTTCACATCTTACATTTAGGTCTTTTATCCATTTTGAGTTTATTTTTGTGTATAGTGTAAGTTGGTGGTCTAGTTTCATATTTTTTGCATGTACCTGTCCAATTTTCCCAGCACCACTTATTGAAGAGACTGTCTTTACTCCATTGTATGGTCTTGCCTCCTTTCTCAAGTATTCATTGACCATAATGGCATGGGTCAA